TGTGGAGTTTAGTGGAGTTAGCGTTTCAAGACCGAAAAATCATTTTGGCGCGCGTTTCTAAGAACTACATACATAATACAATATATAAATTCACACAAAAATCATCAATCAAGCATTCAAGATCCAGTTAGACCGCTTTGATTTTTATAGTTTGTGTTATTTATTTTATTTTATTTTATTTTTTATTTTATTTCATTTTATTAATATATTACATTATATTGTTATATTATATTTTTATAAAAAATGTATTAAATACGTTTTTATACAAAATAAATCTGAAATACTTTTTTCGATTCGTTTTCAACCATTACGCATGCGTGCGTAACATGCCCCAATCGTACCATCTTTTGAGATGAAGCAAATGTGCTCTTAATTGATCTCTTGATTGATAGAGTATGCTCTAACGCGACGCGAACATATAGTCGCCATATTGGTTCCGGTGACGCGAACGTATTGGAGCGTGTTGAGCATGTTGGAGCGTGCGACGCGAACAAACCTTAAATTCGTTCGTGTTACTGAACATATTGGAGCACATGAATGCAACTGCTCCAACCGCCATCTTACCTGTGATCCAAGTGCTCTCTGGGTTAATTTGGAGCATGCGAACAAATCTCAAATTATAACTGTTCCAACCGCCATCTTATCTGTGATCCAAGTGCTCTCTCTGGGTTAATTTGCAGCATGCGACACGAACAAACCTCTGGTTATTATGCTGATTGTATGTGAGGTTAGACGCAGTTAGGTAGGTTAAACGCCGAACCATATGTCATTCCATGTGAGTTTAATGTTTGTTTGATACCGGCGTTTTCGCAAAATGACACAAGTTGCGCAGGAGGATAACGAATTAAAGAGATTGCTCAATAATCCAGCCAAGAATGCTAGCGAAGATGGATCCATGGCACCACCGTTATCGGTAGGTTATTAAATTTAGGTTGTTAGATTTTACGTGCGTTTTTTAAAATAATGTAAACTTAATTTGTAGACTAATGTGCCGAGACCAAGCACGTCGCAAAGTGCCAACCCACAATCGATGATTCCAATAACGCCAGTTAATAGCACGAAAGAAGTTCCAGAGCCTTGTTTACAGTAGGTCTTGAGTTATGTAATTATTTGCATTGCATATAAATATGTACTTACTGTTGTACTATTATGTTGATTCTACAATAAGTTGATAATCTTAAGTCTTATTGGTGAAGTTTATCAAACTTGAAGTTAACTAACTTGTATGACTAACGCTGATTGGTTAACTTTACTAGTTAAGGACCTCAACTTTTGATTAAATTAATCTATGATTAACTCGTAAAAGTACTAACAGTTTAATGTATCAGAACATCTCTCTCTTCCTCTTCTGTGTTTAGTTCTCACATTGGCAATCATGGTGATTGAGTTCATTGATTAGCATTGATCAGGATTGATGATCAGGAAAGAGGCTGTAAGACAAAGACCTGGTGGCACCAATGTTATTTCGACTTTAAGCAAGACTTAAAATTCTCTTTGTTTTGTTTTAAAGCAAAAAAGAGACAGAGACAGAACGAGTTTTAAGCTTTGCTTAAAGTCAAAGTAATGTTGGTGCAAGCAAACCTAAAACTTCCAACTCATTGTAGAATCAGCATTAGATGTGTGTAGGATGTAGTTTCTTGCCATCAGTGTCTGCATTATTTTTACAGAAATGTAGTCTCTACAGTTAATTTGCAAACAGAACTGAAACTTATGTACATTAATGTAAGAACTAGGAATTCTGAATACAACCCAGCTAGGTTTACCGGATTAATAATGAGGATACAAAATCCTAGAGCGACAGCGCTAATTTTCCGCTCTGGTAAATTAGTATGTACTGGCGCGAGAAGCGAACAAGATTCGTTTTTGGCGGCAAAGAAATTTGCTAGAATAATTCAGAAACTTGGATTCCCTGTAAGCAATGTCACATACCTAAAAATCTCGAGAGAGTTTTTACTTAATGTACAGTGTTTTTATATTTTGTTCTAGGTTAAGTTTTCCAGTTTTAAAATACAGAATATAGTTGCGACATGTGATTTGAAATTTCCAATTAAGTTGGAGATTTTATATCAATGTCATGGTCAATTTTCCAGTTATGAACCAGAGTTATATCCTGGTCTGACATACAGAATGTATTCACCTAGAGTTGTATTATTAATATTTGTAAATGGTAAAGTTGTATTAACAGGTATGTTTTAATACTGTAAAACGTAAGATTTTCGCAGATATTACAGCAAGCAGACGGCTAAATAATTATTGAATGTATTTATTTGATAACTTTTAGGAGCAAAGAATAGGACTGAATTACAAGATGCATTAAATATTATATATCCGACATTAAAGATGTATAGAAAGCAATAATATTACTTATTTACAAAATAAATGTCAAATAAAATAACAAGAGACATGTAAATATAAAAATTAATCATATAATAGTAAATTGTTCCTTTCTATAACTAATTTTAAAATTCTACAAAATGAGAAAAGCTTTACCTTGTATTTTTATATATCTTTATAATATATAGTTGCAGTATTATTAATATTTTATATGTTAATTTTATTATTTTGTATTGATGTATACTGTGTAATTTATCATTATAATTATATTAAAGAATATCTTAATTATTTTATAGATTTCTGTATAACATATAGTAATTGTATATATTTCTTTGTATCTTTAATCACACACACGCACATGCACACACACACGCGCGCGCGCGTGCGCACATATACATACACACGCATACACACATCTATGCAAAATAAAGAAAAAATTAATTTACAAGACATTGTTATCTTAGTAATAATTAATATAATTAAATGGTTATGATTAAAAACCACATACGCTTCTATTTATTGTTAAAGTATATATTTCAGACATATATTTGCATAATGAAAATAAATATTTTCTGATATACTATATATTAAAATAAAATATAATTGACAAACAATTATATTTATAGTGTATACAATTTATATAATATTTATCAGAATTATTATAAATATACATACATCGATAAATATACATACATCTATGATAGATTTCTCTTTAACTTTATGAAAAATTGGAATATCTGGATATGTAAAGTTTAATGGAATGTTCAATCATTTTTAAAAAATACAAAGTGTTTTCTAAAGATTGTAAAATACAGAATTTTGCAAATCTTACAAAACTCATATACATTTTTGTAAATTGAAAGAATATTAATATGTTCAAACATTATTTTATAAACTAAATAATCTCAACTGTTATAGACACTTTATAATATTATAGAACGTGCATGTATATAATTATATGTATCTGGCGAGAGCCATGAAAAAAAGATACTTTAATATACCCGCTGATAAACAGCCATGGTCCATTTAAGAACTTTGTCCGTGCATCATCAGATTTGGAAACGTTACAACGTTTCTCAATACTTGACGCTTTAACGCTGCGTAAATGCGTGTGTTTTATTTGTTATTATTATTATTATTATTATTATTATTATTATTATTATTATTATTATTAGGCGGAGCCTAGTTATACATCTAATAGTATCTGAATCTAAAGTCCTTTTCTCGATTGATTTAAACTTTAATCAATGAAGTTTGTATTATATACTCTTATGTTCATGTCCCAATTTTCTTTCGAGTTCGTTTTTGCAGTCTTTAATCGATCACGTGTATACCTTTTTTTGCAGCTATGGGCAATTTTTCTCCTTGAAAGAACGGATTTTCTTCCTGAAAGAGTATTATTAGTACTTTTAATTTCATTATTTTATACGATTTAATTTTATTCATAAATTCAAATGTTCTTTTTCTTTGAAAAAAGGGTAAAATGTGGATTAATTCTTGTAATTTTAATTGTTAAAAAATTTTATAAACCATACATATTTTGTACGATGTCTATATATATTTCAATTACCTGAAACTGTTCGATAATTTGATTGAGATCGGAATTCGAAATATGCATGTTCGATAAACTGTTACTGTTTCCAGAATCATTGGAGCATTCTAACATATGTTCTGTGTCGCACATACAGTCCTGAGCGCTTTGATAGTCGCGGCTAAACGCTGCCGTGTTTTCGAAATTGGTGAGGCAATTATTTTCACCTGTAAAAGTAGGAATAAATTTTAAATCATACGTCAAATATATAAAATTATTGTTTTCAAATTAAAAAAGATGTTTGATGATTAAAAATAAAAAGTATATCTATTCTTGACATGTTTTTGCCATAAATAAGATCATTTGAATATTGTTATTAGAGCTTCTACAAAAGAAAACAGAAGGAAACTCGCTCGTCTGTAGGAGTTCTTAAAGGTAAAGGAAAAAATACTTGAACAAATCCGAAGAGTAAGATAGATTATATATAAATATAGAGATTATAGATAAATATATATATATAAAAGAAATTTTTTTTGTAACGACTCTATTATTTCTTAATTAGATTATATTGTTGAATTTTATTTACTCACTCGTGTATCCAACTGGACAAGGATTCGGAGGAGTACAGTAAGCCGGTAAAGGATTTTCTGTCTTCTCGTCCTTGAGTCCTTTCAAACTAAATTGAATTCTATGTCTATTATAGCCCTTGTCGTTATTATTTTTATTATTGTCGAACCGTTGGTGACTCCAGAGCGTACTGTGCTGCAAATACTCCTGATCTCGTATACTTGGATTCGGGTTCAAAGTGTCCATGTTATCATAATCGACCGGTAATTCCATGGGCAATTCCTTAGCTTTTTCCTCCTGATATTCCAAGTACGAATCGGGCGCACTCACAAATTCATTTCCCACTTGATCGATCAATTCTTGCAAAAAGTTGTCGGTCCATAAATCCTCCTCCTGAATACATCCAAATAGTGGATTACATGCTCTTTTGACATCCTGCAAAAAATGGATGAATTAAAAAAAAATAAGCAGGAATTTACTTCGCGATGTTACGTACTATCTTCGAAATCAATAATTGTCTTTGAAATTGCTCAATTCTTTCCTATTTATTTTTTTCCATTTGTATTTATTTGTTTCAATTCCTATGAGGAATAAACAATACATTATAAATCGAGAAAAAGTTTTTTTCAAAAAATTAGTTGCATTTTCTTTTAATTCGGCATTAAGATACATATGTAAGCTGACATGATCTTTATGTCTCTGATGTCTATATGTACCAGGATTTGAAGAAGAAAAAGAATTTTCAGAAACATTTAAATCAATTCCTGATTTCGAAGATTAAATATTTCATTTCGCAGAAGGAAATTCCTTTCGATTCATTTTAATTCATCTATTTTTTGCACTGGTAAATCTGTGGATTTTCATAATTACCTTCATTAAAGGCAAATAAATATTCGACCGTGCAGCAACAGCAATCAAAAGGAGTAGAATGCAGTAGAGCATGATAATCAATGCGTGCATCTGCAGAATAGTACAAAAGGTTTTTTTTTTTTACAATTTGTCATTTATTTTTTCACTACAACATCCTAGTAAGCAAAATATTAGCAGTCTTTTAGCAATTTGCCTGTATATAGTAGATACAAGATACAAGCGAAATAGTGTGGCAGATTAACATCAGCTACGTTCATAAGCTCGTATTCTGCCAACAGAATCTGTCGTCATAATTTTATTGCAAATTGGCTTAGAAACTAATAGAAACTAAGCAGAATTTATTGCCATTTTGTAATTATTATTTAAATAATATCTTTTATGTTTAAATAATTACAAAATGATAAATTTATTCAATTTTATTCAATTTCTGCTGATAGATTCTATCTTATTTTGTTAGCAAATTTCTGTCGACACTCTGCTGACAAAATTTTTTGACAAAAAACATATACTTGACAACATCTATTGTTGACAGATTTGTCTATGTGAGATACCGATCATAATTTGATAATCCTCTAAAAAATTTATTAATCTTATCATCTTGTATAAAGAAAGAATTATTATAGTATACATAAATAGTATAACAATATAATTAAAACAATATAGCTCTTTTTTAAAATATAATTAAATGAATTCTCATAAAAATTTTCATAATTTAGATTTTCTTAGAGCACATTTGCGAATACGTTCGTTTAACTATTTAAATGTTTTCAAATGCAGTGGAATATTTCAATTTTCCGCGAGTATAACGTGTGTAACTCACCATAATCAGCGACAAATGGTACGCTACGGAGAAAATCGACGATATAGACCGAATAGATCCTCGAGAAGAGGTATCACACACCTGCAGTTTTTCGCTGCACACACGCTTTTCCTCTCCTCGTCGTCGTCATCGACGGCCGCGATCGCCGTCGTTGTCGCAACGAGCGCCGTTCGTGGTCTCAGCGAGTACCAGAGTATTGATTTCCACCTTTTTCCATTATTTCACCCTTTATGATCCTGTCCCGACAACGTGCCCGTCGCCCACCATCCTCGCCGTTCAACCCACATTCGTAAAATCGAGCCACTATTAAAGGTCATTCGACGGAGCTGCCATGCCGTTACCAATATGCCGTGACTAATATAGTTGAGAATCTGGGGGAATCTTTTCGGTAAATAGATAAATGTAGAAGACTTTCGATGTTTTCAATTATATCGAAACGCGTATTGTTGTATTAAATCTTACTTAAAAGAAATAAGTTAGAAAAAATTGAACATAATAGTTTCATTGTTTCATTGTTTCATATTAAGTTAAATATCTTTATCAATCAATTAATCAACAATTACATATACAATCTCTTTAAAATCTGTAATTATTCCAAAATATTTAAATTTTCACATCGTTTAATAATTAAATATAAATTTAACGGGTATAAAGATCATTCTTAGCAATTAATGTGCTAATTCCATTGACTGCATATTCTTTCATCATTTTCTCTTATTAATAGATATTATTCGATATTATAGTATGTATTGTTTGAATTTGCACGCACTTTAAAAACGCATTTAATCTCACAATTTATACAATGATCTTCGTAATTTTTCTTAACACTGAATTATTCAATTACTTTAGATAACTGTATATCGGTTATTTGCTTATCTAAATTGCATTCATAAGCAACGGTTGCCTGTAAATGTGATTTGTGTGCAGGACACGTCGTTTGGATAACGATATTAAAGCCAGCTCGTATATCTCAAAGTCCTGTCGAGAGGCTATAAAGTATCTAAAGTACGAGGTCATTTTGTTTCGCGAACATGAAGCTCGAGAGTTAACATCATAAAAATGTAATTTCTTTTTGCTATAACGCCCTCCAAGACATGAATAATTTTATTTCCCTGACTACATTGCACGTTTTCACACATATATACACACGTATTAATCATTACAGTGTTATTACTCAAAGTAAAAAATATTTTCCTAATGTATATTGTTATATTAAAATGTAATGTTATGTTTAAACGAAAATAATAAAATTGGAAATATAAATAATAAAGTTTATTTTTTTACAAAAAATTATTTATAGATTTTCTACATTTTAGAATCATTATACTTCTTTTTCCTACAATCTATCGTTTTGTGACGTAAAAGTAATCTGCGCATAAAATCGACGGAAATAAAAAAATCCAAATTTGATAAAAGCTCGATAAAGTAGCATAGTAGTGGTTGTTTGTCAAGCCGGTACTTTCATTAAGCGTACCAGTTACAGGAGGGTTAAAATAGAAAGTGTAGTGGCGTAGGGATGAAAGATCAAAAGATTCTTCCCCCTTGTTATGATCGTATATAAACCATCCATTAGTTGTTGTCGTGCATTGCGTTTCAGCAACTCAATTTACAGAATCAAATTCTCGTTTCGTCTTCATCTCACTACGCTAAGATTGATTATCATTTATCACATTAAGGACTCGTAACATTTTTAAACTGTTTGTTGTTTTTTGTAATACTGTTTTAGATATTTTAATAATATCACTATTTAAAACTTACAAAAAGAAGAGTATAAAATCACAGCACAAGATATTGTTTGTGAAAGAATAGTGAAGAATATCACTATTCTTTATAATATGTAATTATCTATAAAATGATATCTTTTGAAACTTCGTGAAAAGATATACAGAAAGTCAATTATTTTATCTATTTATATTGATTGAAAATTTCTCCTTTGTATAAAATTATTTAAAAAATGGCAAGTTCAAATAATTTTTTATCAGCTATATGTATACATAAAAAGCATTTTGCTCATTCTCTATTATATATTTATTTAATAATTGAAAGCAAAATCTTTTTCAATTGTCCTGAAAAAAATTTTGGCAGTTCAATTTTTTCGCTGTAAAAAAGATTGTAAAAAAGATTTTTTCAAGTTTATGTTAGTTTATATGTAATGTAATACTTTTTATTTAGAAGCAGCGAGCAAATATATCGCAACAATTTATTCGATACGTTCTCAAGGGAAGGAGTATCAGAACATTCTTGAAGCTTGTGATTCCAGCTCAGCATCCATCCGGCTTGTCTTATAATTCCCCGTTCGAATAAAAGTCCTTGTGTCTGTAGTCGGCTTTCGATGCCAAAGATTCCTTTGCGCTTAAACTAGATTACAACCACATTAAACAGCATTCGACGTAGACCAGAGAGAATGCTCCAACATCCATCATCAGACAAATTGAATCTATTTCTTTTTATGTATGATATAACGCTGTTCTATGCATTACAAAATTGATAATGTAATTGGAAATAGAATTACGTCAAATGATCAAACATGTTTATTGTTGGCACATATTTTATACTTACGATTAATCAATGATGAAGATTCCTATATCCGTTATGCTTTTTGATATTCTTTCGATACAGAGATATTGCACGATGTGTTTAGATTTCTGAATATATTAATTCCGATATTATTTATCATAATGTGGGATAAAAATGTTGCTTGAAATAATCGCGATAGTAAATTGATGTAATTTTACATATCCTGAGTGAGAATTATAGCAGCATCACATGAATTAATTTGTTACTATTATATTCACACTAATTTTTAAAATCAACGCAATTAATAATATAATCAGAGTGTAACATTATTACGAAGCATCTTCACATAGGAAAGAATACGTTTATATAATTATATCATACGATGGTTGAATTTAATGTCAGCTATATGAAACTCTGCGTTTTAAGAATATTGTGAATTCACTGAAGATGGCCAGATTGTGGCCTAATAAAACGTCTAATGTTTTAATTAATGTAATGATAATTAAATATCACAAACTATAACTTGTACGGTAGTTTTTTATGCTCTTCTTTTTATACGTTTTATAATCAGAGTGCTGGCTGAAAAAGATGTATGAGATAAATCATAATTGTTGCCTTAAGAAATAAATTTGAAAAAATTATAATTTTACGATATTGTTTACGTCGTTAACGGAATCATATGTCTAATTAAGCTGATATAAAAATGTATTTTTAAACGACTGATTGTTTATAATTACATAAATTGAATGAATGAATGAAATTGTCGGTCGCATTAAGAGCCGTATAGATAAAAATACTATTTTTATATAAATAAATAAATGAAATGAGTAAAAAGATAGATGTGTAAAAAATATATTAATATTTAAATATTGTATTAATAATTAAGTGCTGTTGTAATAAAATTTGATATCACCAATTTTGTCGAACGGAAGGGATGAATGTTCCAGGATATATCTGAGGGATTTCTCTCTCTCTCTCTCTCTCTCTCTCTCTCTCTCTCTCTGTCGGCAGTAGAGGCGGTGTGCTGCGTGCGTAGTCAGCGTGGAGCTGTTACGCTGAGTGTCTCGGCGCGGCGTCACAAGTATTGATCTTCGTAGAGAGCCACTACGTGAATGGGTTATAGCTGTCTCGTACTATTCCGTAAATTTTCGTACAATTCTCTCTTCGTCACACACGTTCACCATTTCCTCGTGATCTCGATTTCCCTCTTAGCCGAAAGCTTTCTGTATTTCGCTGCTCTCGTCACGGCACGATATCCATCCCCGCGTGTTACTTTGCTACGGTATCATGCATAACGCAGACACTGTACTTATATTTGTCGTACAGTATATTACAGATATTGGTTTCAGCTTGCGTGTAAAAGTACAAGTAACTCTTCTTTTTTATTTTACGTAAAAAAAATTAAGTAGTACTAAAGAGTAATACAGGCGCATTTTGATGAAGAATACGATTTTGCTCATCTGAAAAGATAACATTTCTCTTCTTGTCAAAAAAGAAGTGTGTTCGCGCGACAGGATATAAAATTAACTTTGTAATTATTACAAAAAAGAAAAGAGATTTTCTAACTTCTTATAAGGAATAAAGATTTTCTACTTCTTAAATGTAAATTGTAAATCGCGGAAAAATTTCAACTTTCCAGTAATGTCTTTATTTTCAAAATCAGATTCTAGATTTTCTAATTATTTTAGAGAGTTACAATTTATCTGTAATATTTCAATTAAGCAATAAATATATTACTTGCATTTTTACATAATTTTTTCTTGCTCTTTACGAATCCGTCTAAAAGTATTACATGTATCATTTTTAATATAATGCATTAACATATCTAGCGAGTCCTACATTTTGTCGTCGCAATGGCAATGGAAATGATAAAGTTAAGTAGTTTAAATGAAAGCAATATATAATAAATTGTTGTCGTATAATATTGCGTTGCTAGTAGTATAATTGCACATTTATAAGCGTATCTACAAGCCGGCATCATTATATGGTATTAATAAGTACGAAATACCTTGCTTATTATACAAGAAAAAATATACATAGTCATATTTTTATGTAGGTAAAGCTGTGAATATAGGAAATACAGTTAATTGATTTAATTGCATCTATCTTCAAGAAGAAAAGTAACATTGACTGTGCATTTCTAGGTTGTATACCTTAAATATCATTAAATATTTGGAATGTTTATTCAAAGAATGATGTATAGATTGTTTGATACGCACATCAAATTGTTATATATTTTTTAAATATATTTAAATTGTATTTTTATCTGTTTCTTTCTTTTTCTTTTTTTTTACTAATTAATTTTATTATGACAAAAAATCAATTGTGTACGTCTAGGAATGAACAGGCATTACCGGTAATAAAAGACATATGTTATACATTTCCTTATTTCCTAAATTATTTAATTTAATAGTCAATAAATGGTATAACAAAATGGTATAAAGTGCAATTTTATTTGTACGTAAAATTATAAAAGAATAATTTTTTGCTACATTATACAAGTAAAACGATTTATCATTTAAAAAAATATAGTTGATTTCTTCATAACGTCCAGTCTATATTTTAGACAAAACCATGTGATTGTGTGAGCCAAGATATAGTACTCGATTTAAAGAAATATAATCCCTATTTCGACAAGATTCGAGCACTTTTTGTGCCTAGTCTGGAATATAGATTCCAGTCTTTGTTGGAGGAGTTCGTGTATAACACAAATTCTCGATGGGCTAAGCAGTTTCCGTGTTTCAAG